GATGTGGCTTAGTGGTCAAGTACCCCTGAGTTCAATCCATGGCACCAAAAATAAAAAAAGAAGCAAGAGCTTATCTAGGAACTCAACTCGACCTCCAACTCAAACCTCAATTTGCTAGTTACTTACTCTTCTTAAGGACTCAAGGCTCAGGGGCCTGGTGGTGGGGCAAACCTCCCTCCTGCAGTGGAGGAGCCAGAAAGTCCAGTTAATGATCAGCCCCCAGGGCAGGGTCTGGTCCTTTCTTAAAGGCTTCTATCTTTAGGCATTACTCAACATCTGGCCTACCCTTCTCCAGTCAGCTGGCTGAGAGGGCTTATAAATGGGAGGAAGGTGCTGGACAGGCCCTCTACCTGCTGAGGTCTTCAGTGAACATACTTCCTCCCAGGGAGTCACGGAATTCAGGTATGGCTCACTCATGAGCCGGGGAGTGTGCAACAGGACAGGAACAGAGGTCTTCTGAGAGCTGGTCTTTTTGCAGGCCCTTCAGAGCCTTCCTTCTTCCTTGGCTGATTTTCATCCAACTGCCTCTTCTGGATCCTCCTCCTCCTCTTCCTTAGGTCCAGACTTGTGGCATTCACATAACTTGGGCCTCTATTTTCTCTAAATTACTTCCTGCTATCCACAGATTGGTGGCTCCCACATCTGTGTCCAGCCTAGGCACTTCCCCTGGGGCCACACACAGGCACCCAACAAAAGAGCTCCATGTTTCCTGCTGCCCAAATCTGTTCCCCCTGTTTCCCACCAGGGGTACCAACATGGGCTCAGAGGGTTGAAAAAGGAAAGGCTCTGTCTGTTCTCAGTTGGAATGAGGATGTAGAAGGAGCCTAAATTAGTTCAGGCTCTCAGAATCTGTCAAATGATACATGAGTCAGGGTGAGTGAGTGGATGAGTGGAGGGGAGCTTGGGCTCTTGAACAACTGAAGCTTTGATCAAAAGATTCAGAGTATGTGTGACTTTGTGGCTGGATGTGGGTGATACCTGAGCTGGAAAGCTTGGAGGTTCCGAAAGTTGGGGACATGGGAGCTCCTTGTTCTCTGTAGCCAGCTTGGAGGGTGGAAACTATATTCTATATTCTTTTTCTCCCTAAAACTCAGGTCTGATCAAATCTTGCAACCTCGAGCTACCAAGACCTCTTTAAAAAAAAAAAAAAAAAAAAAAGAGAGAGAATTTTAACATTTATTTTTCAGTTTTTGATGGACACAACATCATTGTTTGTATGTGGTGCTGAGGATGGAACCCGGGCTGCACGCATGCCAGGCAAGCGCGCTACCGCTTGAGCCACATCCTCAGCCCTATCAAGACCTCTTGAAATGCTCTCCTTCATTTCTACCATCCCTGTCCTGTTGAGATAAAAATGAGATCCAGAAAACCAGGGCAGAGCCAGGAGTTGTGGCACATACCTGGGAGACTGAGGCAGGAAGATCACAAGTGTAAGTCATTGACTCTGCCTTAGTTTTCTTTCTTCTTTCCTTCTATCTTTTCTTTCTTTTGTGGTATAAAGAATTAAACCCAGGGCCTGGGGATGTGGCTCAAGTGGTAGCGTGCTTGCCTGGCATGTATGCGGCCTGGGTTCGATCCTCAGCACCACATATAAAACAAAGATGTTGTGTCCGCCGAAAACTAAAAAAGAATTAAATCCAGGGCCTTGCACATGCTAGGTAAGTGCTTTATGACTGAGCTATAACCTCCAGTACTTTTTATTTTTTAGGTTTTAGTTTTGAGATAGAGTTTTACAAAATTGCTGAGGCTGGACTTATACTTGTGATCTTCCTGCCTCAGTCTCCCAGGTATGTGCCACAACTCCTGGCTCTGCCCTGGTTTTCTGGATCTCATTTTTATCTCAACAGGACAGGGATGGTAGAAATGAAGGAGAGCATTTCAAGAGATCTTGGTAGCTCAGGTTGCAAGATTTGATCAGATCTGAATTTTGGGGAGAAAAAGAGTTAATTAGAGCTTGGGGACTGGCCTATAGGCCTGCATGTCCCCATGCTGGCAATTGAATTCGGGGCCTCACTCAGGTTAAGCAAAGCACTATATCACCAAGCTAAACCCCCAGCCCAGCCCTACAACTGCTAATCCACCACTTCCACCCTCTCTGGTGCTCACGTGCAATAATTAACTGCTGAGTGGCCTTCGCCCAATCCCAGACTTTACTCCTGGGCTCCCTTCCCACTGCTTGTCTCCTAGGCCACTAAACCTCAGCTGTCCCCTGGAATAAGTCAAGAGGAGCGTGAAGCAGAGTAGAAGCCTAAGCAAGTCTGAGAGCGCAGCGGCCTCTTCTCCCAGGTATGCCACTTGCCACACACCCTCTGGTACTCCTAGCATGTGATAATGTATTGGCTGAGCTTGGAGGGCCCTCTGTTTGCAGATAGCTCAGAGAATCCAGAGGTGGAGATTGAGCCCCAGATCAGAGCGCAGCCTGCCCAAGGTTAAACTACATCCTTGAACTAGAACCCAAGGGCTCTTGCCCTTCAACCCAGCACTGGGTTTTCAGCTCTTTCTAGGGCCCCCAGAGGGGTGGGGGATAATGGCAGTAGTGGTGGGTATCACAGCTGGACCAGGTGAGACGAGGAAGGTGGGGAGAGGGTATGCAGAGGGATGTAGGTCACAAGAGAGGGAGAGAGAAGTGGCTTCAGAAAGCAGCCACAGTGAGAGTACAAACCAACGGGTCCAAGAACAGGGCTGTCTCTGCCCCCATGCTCAGCATTGTGTTGGTGTCCTCAGGAGAGCCTCAGCATGGGACAGGTGCCAGGGCCAAAAGCTGAAGGAGCTCTGGTCTGGACTTCAAGATGGGGAGTCAGACTTTGGTAGTCCCTGCTATGTGACTTGGGGCATGACCCTCAATCTGGGTCCAACAGATTCCACATAGATTAAAGTGGCTATCATTTGGTATTTTTTAACCCCTCCTCCCACCTTTAATCCCCAGATCAGGAAACAGCCGTAAGATAGTTTGTGTTTGTTTCCTTTGGACAGAAAGGGGTGGAGGGAGGGCCGGACCAGCCAGGCTGAACCTTTTCTAACCTGTGCTTTCAGCAGCCAGGTTTTGTTTCCCCTCAGGAGGCCAGATCAAAGATTCACCTCTCAACAGTACAGATTTCCCCACCTGGCCTTTGAGTTTAGTAAATGAGTAGATCCACAGAGGCACGATTGGACCCTGGAATGAATGAAATAGCAAGTGAGAGAATGCATGAACACTGGAATAAACAGAAGAACAGCATAAGGAATTGAGCAGGGAGGAAAGCTGGGGGGGAATTCAGCTCCAGGCTGACAAGAGCTCTCCGGGGCAGTCAACCTGAATACCCTGTGAGATAGGGCAAGCTGAGCTTGTGAGTGGGGAAGGCACACCCACTTTAGCAATCTGGTATGTGGAAAGTGGGTTTAGGAAGAAAGATGGAGAAGATTTGTGGGAAAGGAGCCTTTTAGGAGGGCCCAGGAAGCTGGTGACTGGTGGAATGAGGGGAAGTCACCTCCCAAAATTTGATATCTGAGGTCAAATGATGGCTATGATGGTTGAGGGGAGGTCAGCTTTGTGGCAGGAGGCTCAGGAGTCTCCCCAGGAGTCCCAGGGTATCTAGAAAAGATATATTGGATTAGCCCAAGGATACAATTGGAAAGGGCTGGAAGGCTTTAACAAAAGAAAAACCTGGGCATGGTGACTTATACCTATCAACCTGGCTATTCAGGATGCTGAGGCAGGAGGATCACTTGAACCCAGGAGTCTAAGGCCAGTCTGGGCAACTCATCAAGACCACAAGTCAACAAAACCCCTAGATCTGCAGCTTATTTGCAGCTCTGAAACTAAGGTATTTGTAATCTTTTATACACAGTGATTTGGTGTCAAAATCTGACCTAAAATTAATGTGAGATCATATATAATTTTTTTAATTCCATCAGTATAACTATTTCATCAGGTATGCATAAATCCTATTAGTTTATATTACTATTTATAAAATTTTTTAAAAAGGGGGGGCTGGGGCTGTAGCTTGATGACAGAGTACTTGCCTGGCATTCGTGAGGCACTGGGTTCGATCCTCAGCACCACATAAAAGTAAACAAATAAAATAAAGGCATTCTGTCCCGAGAAACTGATGTGACTCCATTTTTGAAAAAAAAAAACAACAAAACAGCCTCTACCTCAGAGCAAAGCCTATCCAGAGGGAGGGGGCGGGACCCTAGTCCTTGGAAAAACCCACAGAGCGTTACTAGGCACATAGCCAGGGTAGTTTCGATGATTGATAACATGATTAGGAAACCCTGCAGTTTTTCATTTACACTCTTGCGACCCCTCACGGCCTAAACCAATCAGTTCAAATGTATCCACCCCTTGAACTAACCAATCACCCTTATCCAACTTGTTCCCGCCAATGAATGTGCTAATCAATGTTAAGAGTTGTTGTTTGATTTTCCCGCGGTATGGAATGATTTGCTGTGTGATGTTGTGACACATAGAGTATCCCCCAAAACCTATAAATCCTCACTGAACAAAGGACCGGGACTTACTCCTTGGGACTCCTGTGTCAGAAATGTTGTGAATCCAGGCTCGATCTTGCAATAAAGACTCTTGTGTGATTGCATCGGATTCGGGTCCTGGAGGTCTATTGGGGTCCAACGAATCTGGCATAACAGTCCATATACAACTACAAAAAAAAAAAAAAATTAAATCCTAAAAAAAAAAAAAAATTAAAACATTTACCTCTAAGGATTTTGAATAAAGGATTGTGGATGTATGGCAATCTCTAAACTGTTTCTGCACATTGCCAAAGTCTTGCTCCTTGGTCACTTCATTTGATCCTCATTACCTACTGGAGAAGACAGAGAGGCTCCTGCCAGGAATGTTCCCAGTGGGTGGTGCCTGATCCACTTCTCGCTGGGTCTAGGAAGACAGGGGTTGGTGATCCATCAGTAGAGGCTCCACCCCGCTGGCATTGAGGCCACAACTTGAGGCTCCACCTCCACATTACTTGGTGCTACTGATCACAGTTCTTTCTTAAGGGATTGACATGGCCCGGCTGATGACAACACAGCTGCTGCTTCTTGTGTGGGTGGCTGCTTGGGGTGCCCAGCCCAGGACTGTTCGGGCCAGGACTGAACTTCTCAATGTCTGCATGGACGCCAAACACCACAAGGAAAAGCCAAGCCCGGAGGACAAGTTGCATGAGCAGGTAGGCCAAGGGGTAAACCAGGGTGATACAGGGCTGGCTTAGGAGGAGGAGGTCAGAAGATGAGGTGTCAAGCTCCCCTCTGTGGTGGACACAGATAGACCTGCCTGAAGAGACCTTCAATTTGCACAAATGGGGGTGGCCGCTTACACAGGTTGTGTGCCAAATGTCAGTAAAGTGCTAACAGCTCACCTTCTTGGTTGTTGAGTTTCCGCATTGCACCCAGGAATAAGGAAGTAGACCCAGAGGAGAGTCTGGGAAATGGAGTTGAAGAGACTCATTCTGGGGATTGGATTTGGATTTCTGGATTTTAATTGGGAAGAACTCCTCCACGGACCAAAGAGGAGAAGCTGTATACTATACAGAGTGGCTCCTTTCTGCCAGCCCTACACAGCTCAGGAAAGGTGGGCCTCTTGCAGCCAGGAAGCTGGCTGCCAAGTGTTTGGCTTCAGGCATCTGGCAAACATTTGTGCTATGGTTCTTGAACCCACTGGATCTCAGGTTTCCCTTTGACAACAATTATTTTGCCACAACCCCTTTCATATCCTTGATTTAGCTAAGCAGTGAAGACAATCAATATGACAGCATAACTACAAAGAAAAAGCAAAAGGCCAGCTACTTGAGAGGCTCAAGCAGGAGGATCTCTTGAGCCCAGGAGTTTGAGGCCAATGTGGAAAAGAGTGGGATCCTATCTCAGTAAATAAATAAATAGGAAAAGAAAAAGGAAAGTAATTGTAATATGTATTTCTTTTTTTTTTTTTTTTTTTTTAGAATTTTTAACATTTATTTTTTAGTTCTCGGCAGACACAACATCTTTGTTGGTATGTGGTGCTGCTGAGGATCGAACCCGGGCCGCACACATGCCAGGCGAGCACGCTACCGCTTGAGCCACATCCCCAGCCCCTGTAATATGTATTTCAATATGTAAATGTTCACTTTAGTTCCATTAGCAGATAATGACCACAGTCCTTTTTACTCTTGTTTTGAATCACTGACCTACCACTGCCAAATGCAGACTGCCAAATCTTGGCTACCTTGGGCAGCCTTGACTTTAACTTACTCAGCCTTCATTTATTTATTATTATTATTTTTAAATTTTTTTACTTGTTCTTTTAAAAATGTATGTTTTAATATTTTATTAAGTTCTGGGTCAAGGATTTTCATTCATTCAATAAGTATGTATTAAGTGTTTATGTAATTGTTCCTAGAGTTACAATTTAGCTTCTTTCTTCACCTTCAGGTCTTTGTCACCTCCTCAATGAGGCTTAATTAAGCCACTGTGGGGCACTTGAAGTCACCATCCATTTCTCTTGCCTTTTTTTTTCCCCCAAAGTAACTAAATTATTATGTGATAAGCGTTCATCACTAGTTTGTGGTGTGTGTGTTATGGGGGATTAAACCCAGGGCCTTGCCTAGGCAAGTGCTCTACTTCTTAGTTACATCCCCAGCCCCAGTGTTCATTATTGTATCCCTAGTTCCTAGACAAGTCCCCTGGGTTAGGGTATGCAGGAGCTGTGTAAAGATTTCAATTAATGAATTTTGTAAGGACTGCAACTCCTGGGTTCCTAGAGCCTCTGCGAAGCCCTTCCCTCAATGGGGACCCCTTCAACAAATATTTATTTTTTTGAATGACTTTGAAATTTTATTGGGAAATCAAGGACTAAAAGTAGGGAGGCTGCATATGCAATATTCTGACTGTGGACTCAGTTCCATGTCTCCCCCTGTGAAGTGCAGTCCCTGGAAGAAGAACTCCTGCTGCTCCTTCAACACCAGCCAGGAAGCCCATAAGGATATTTCCTACCTATACGGATTCAACTGGGACCACTGTGGAAAGATGGCACCTGCCTGTAAACGACATTTCATCCAGGACACCTGCCTCTATGAGTGCTCCCCTAACTTGGGGCCCTGGATCCAGCAGGTACAGGTGTCCTCCCAGCATCCCCAAATTAGCAGAGGAGCTGAGCTTTCCAGCCACCTCTGCAGGCTGTGCCTCCAACTCTGGTTCTATTCAGGGCTGAGTTGCGCAGGTTCTTAAGCCTGAACCCTTGTCCATCAAAATCTCCTAGGTGGACCAAAGCTGGCGTAAAGAGCGGATCCTGAATGTGCCCCTGTGCAAAGAGGACTGTCAGCGTTGGTGGGAGGATTGTCAGACCTCGTTCACATGTAAAAGCAACTGGCACAAAGGCTGGAACTGGACCTTAGGTGAGGGCTGGGGTGGGACAGGGAGAAGGGATTCAGAGGTAAAGTTGTGGGGGTGTGGAGCTGGTATGTGAAAATTTTGGGTGGTGGGTTTGGTTGAACTAGAGGTAGTTCTAGGCACAGTAGCTAAAAGCCTTCTGTCTTTCCTATAGGGTATAACCAGTGCCCCGTGGGAGCTGCCTGCCACCCCTTCCACTTCTACTTCCCTACACCTGCAGCTCTGTGTGAGGAAATCTGGAGTCACTCCTACAAAGTTAGTAACTACAGTCGAGGAAGTGGCCGCTGCATCCAGATGTGGTTTGACCCCGCCCAGGGCAACCCCAATGAGGAGGTGGCAAGGTTTTATGCAGAGGCCATGAGTGGGGCTGAGGTCCCCAGAGCCTGGCCTCTCCTGCTCAGCCTGGTCCCAATGCTGCTCAGGCTGCTCAGCTGAGCTTCTTTTATCTTTTAATACCTGGGGGCCCCACAGCTCCTAGCTCTTCAGTTCCTGCTCCAAGGTGGGGCCCCTGAGAGCCAGTTTAAATAAAACAGATACATGTGTCTTGTGAATTATCTGGGTATGAATGGGAATGTGAGTGTTTTGCTTCCTGATTCTTACTGATTGAGTTCAGTTAGCCTTGGTCAAAACCCAGCTCTGATACTTGCTGTGAACTAGTCAGGTACTTAACAACTCTTCTAACCTAGGACACATTCATAGCTCTCAATTTCATTTTTCATCACAGTTCTAATTTAGAGATAAACCTAGTATTTTACCATTTTAATTTGGATCCCAGTCTCCCAGGGCCGACCACTCTGTACTGTGCTCGGCAATACAATAGAAGAGGTGGGGAAAGGAGAGCCTTGTATGTTCTGTGTGGATGGCTTGGAAGAAGGTAAGGGAGCCAGCAAGAGCCATACCACAGACAGCTAATGCCCACCCAGGACTGTCTGCCAGACTCTATCCTATATTTTGTATTTATTCTAATAAAGTGTAAATACTATTGTTGGCATTTTACATAAGTGGAAACAGTCACAAAAAATAAGGTATATGGATAAAGTCACCCTTGCCTAAGACCTGGGATTCCATCCAAGCTATCTGACTTTGGAGAACAAGCTCTTTTTCCTAGTGGAGTGAGTAAACATGTTTCTTGAAGGGATAATGGGTCATATCTAACCAGAGGAACTGGGCTTGAGCTAGTCTGGCAGATCTATGACTGGAAGCCAGACTTCTAGAGCAGGTCCCAAACCAATCATCTGAAAAGATTGTAGGCAGTTTTCCCACATTAAGTATAGTGTGTAACAGTTGTAACAAGTCAGTTTATATTACAGCAACATTCCTATTATCCAGAAGTTTAATATAACTGATGTTTATTTCTTGCATAAGATACATTTTTTTTTTTTTGTACTGGAGATTGAATCCAGGGCCTTGTACCACTGAGCTATACCCCCAGCACTTTTTCTTTTGTTTTGAGCCAGGGTCTTACTGAGTTGCCTTCATTGGCTCCAAATTTATAATCCTGCCTCAGACTCCTGAATAGCTGGGATTACAGGTGTTCACCACTATGTCCAGCTTCGAGCTACAATGCTTAATGTGGGTTGTAGGAGGGATTTCACTTCTCATTCAAGGACCCAGATTGATGGAAGCTCTGTCTTGTCAACTATTTCCTTCCATGAGATCAGAAAAGAGAACTTGGTAAATTCATACAGGCCCTTAAACTTCCACCCATCACTTATTTTGTTGGCTAAATCAGGTCATGACCATGTCTAAATTCAAGGAGACCAGGAAAACATAATCCTATCATGTGCCTGAAAGGAGAGGCAAATCACAAGGTTTGTGGTCCAAACTATGACTACTACAAAAACCTTGTTATCTTATGGTTAGTTTATATTTCTGGCATGGTCACAGTTACAAATTTAATTTTTCAAAGAGATCCTAGTAAGAAGGAAGATCAGCTCCTAAAACCTATGCAAATGACTATATCAACCTGAAAAGTGGAGCAATTGCCAACTGCCACCCTGGTCTTGTGACAAGGCCAATGGATGTATTATATTTTCTGTAGAACCAGTGTCTCCACTCACAAAAGTGACTTGTTTACAATATTAGAACTAGTGAAATTTAAGATTAATACTATATCTATCCAATATACTCATAAGTGTCCTGTCATGCTATTTCTGAATCATTTATAAAAATAAAATACTTGTCTGGGCTGGGGTTGTGGCTCAGCGGTAGAGCACTCGCTTAGCACATGCAAGGCCCTGGGTTCGATCCCCAGCACCACATAAGAAATAAATAAAATAAAGGTATTTTGTCCATCTACAACTAAAAAATTAAAAAAAAAATACTTGTCTGAATCCAACTTACTGTATTTGCCATCTTCAAATTCTGAGGGCCATTGGCTTGCAGAATGTATTAATTCTTCACATAAAAATTGCCTAGAATATATAACAACATACAGATAGACATATAGATCAAAGGAACAGAACTGAGAATTTGGAAATAAATCCTTACATTTATAGTCAATTATTATTATTATTTTTGGCAGTGCTGGGGATTGAACACAGAGCCTCATGCATGCTAGGCAAGCATTCCTCCACCAAGCAACATCCCCAGCCCAAATAGTTAGTTGATTTTGGACAAAGTTACTAAGATAATGCATTGGGAATAGGATAGTCTGTTCAATAATAGGAGGTGGGACTATTGTACATGTGAAAAGATGAACTTAGACCTTCACCTCACACCCTATATAAAAAATGAACTAAAAATGAACTATAGACTTAAAGGTAATAAACAAAACAATAACTTTTGTTTGGCACTTGTAATTGAATCCCGGGACACTTTACCACTGAGCTAATCTACAGTCCTTTAAAAAAATTTTTTTTGTAGTTGTGTATGGACAGAATGCCTTGATTTTATTTATTTTTGTGGAGTGCTAATGATCGAACCCAGTGCCTCACACATGCTAGGCAAGCACTCTGCCACTGAGCTACAGCCTATAGTCCTTTAATTTATTTATTTATTTTTTTTGTGTGTGTGTGTGCTAAGTTGCTAAGACTTGCCTTCAACTTATAATCCTCCTGCCTCAGCCTCTCCAGTAGTTGGCATTAGAGATATGCTCCAACATACTCATCTTGAAGCACTAACACTTTTAGAAGAAAACAGAAGAACATCTTCCAGACCCTTGTATTAGGATTAGGGATTAAAATGGTATAGACCTGCAGAAAAAAAAGCATGGCAGTTTCTCACAAAAGCAAAATGGAAAACTGCCATACAACTCAGCAATCTCACTCTAAATATCAACTCAAGAAAAATGAAAATGTCCATTACAGCAAGACTTGCACATGCAATTTTCATAGTAGCTGGAAATAACCTCAGTTTCCACTACCCAATGAATGACCACATTTGATCTATCTATACAAGAAAATACTATCCAGCAATGAGAAGTAATGAACTACTATATTGACACATGCTATATCATTCATGGTCATCAAAAACATTATGTAAGGGGCTGGGGTTGTAGCTCAGTGGTTGAGCACTTGCCTAGAACATGTGAGGCACTGGGTTTGATCCTCAGCACCATTTAGAAATAAATATAAAATAAAGGTATAAAAAATTATGTAATGGGGGCTGAGGTTGTGACTCAGCCTTAGAGTACTCGCCTCGTATGTGCGAGGCCCTGGGTTTGATCCTCAGCACCACATAAAAATAAATAAATAAAATAAAAGTATTGTGTCCATATACAACTAAAAAATAAATATAAAAAATTATGTAATGGGACTCAGGGGGAGGGGAATTATGTAAGTGAGGGTGGTAAGAAACAAGAGATCTCAAAATGTAGGATTCCATTTATATGAAGTATCCAGGAGAGGAAAATTTATAGAGACAGATATTGGTGGTTTCCTGGGACTGGGGATGGAAATTGAGATTAACTGTAAATGGGCATGAGGAAGGATGAAAATTATGGAGGAAATGAAAATGTTATAAGACTCATGTATAATTAGTTTGCACCACTCATTGTAAACTTGAAAAAGGTAACCTTTATGGTAATTATAAATAAATAATTGCCTATAAGATACTCTCCTATAGCATATAGGGAATTTTATATGATTCTGCATATAAAATTTTGTAATGTGTACTGATGAAGAAAAGTATTTTAAAGAATTTAGCATTTGGCTCCTGGCTTAAACTTGAATCCTCCTGGATCAGCACTACCACCCACCTACCCAAATGCTAAGATTATAGATGTGCACCACTACACCCATCTTGGATTTTTATTTTTAAAATTTATTTATTTATTAATTATTATTATTATTATTATTATTTTGGTACTGGGGATTTAACCCAGAGGTGCATTACTCCTGAGCTACATCCCTAGTCATTTTTATTTTTTTACTTTGAGACACAGTCTGGCTAAGTTGCTAAGGGTGTTGCTAAATTGAGGTCCAAACTGACCTCCAACTTGTGGTCCTCCTGCCTCAGCCTCTCTATTCACTGGGATTATGGTATGTGCCACCACAATTGGCTGCTTGGATTTTTTTGTTTGTTTGTTTTTTGGTACTGTGGATTGTACCCAGGGGTGCTTAATCCACTGATTCACATCCCCAGCCCTTTTTTTTTTTTTTTTTTTAAAGAGAGAGTGAGAGAGGAGAGAGAGAGAGAGGATTTTTAATATTTATTTTTTAGTTCGGCAGACACAACATCTTTGTTGGTATGTGATGCTGAGGATCGAACCCGGGCCACACGCATGCCAGGCGAGCGCGCTACCGCTGAGCCACATCTCCAGCCCCGCCAGCCCTTTTTTTATTTTTCATTTTGAGACAGGGTCTTGCTAAATTACTATGGCCTTGCTAAATTGCTAAGGCCGGTTTTGAACTTGTGATCCTCCTGCTTTAGTTTCCCAAGCCGCTAGGATTACAGCCATGTGTCACCATGCCTGGCTTATCTTGGATTTTTTAAAGAGAGTGTTTATTCCAGTTGGCACAAGTATAGTCTGCTAAATTAAGGGTTAGAGACCAGAGCCAGGGGAAAGAAAAAAGTCTACATATTATGACTAATCTAAAAAAGATCATGAAGTATGCTACCCAAAATACAAAGACAGTAACCACAATCATATCTCCTTCATTAGCTTGACTCATTCCTTTAACATTATTTCTTGCTACATTTTACTGGGTGAGTATCTTCTTCCATAGAAGTCCTCTGCCTGGGGGATGGAATTTTTTTTAGAAATCCAGGTCTCAAGGCTCTCCCAGGTGACTCATCCAAGTGTCGGTTTATGGTTGTGATGTCAAATACATGAGTCTATTTCCTGTTATAAACTATGGAAGGGATCTTCAAGCAAGTAAGAAAGGAGAATAGAAATTACCTGTTGACAGTACCATACGGTCTTGCCAATCTATTAGTATCCAATATCAGAATGAAAGAATTTTCAGTGGAACAGCCCAAACCTGAGGACAGCT